CCCCCCCCCCCCATCTCTCTGATCTGCTACAACCGTATGTCCCACTACGTTCGGTCAGCGGACCAGTTGCTCCTCACAGTTCCAGAAACTAGTTTTAAGCGCAGAGGTGACAGGGCCTTCTCTGTAGCAGGACCAAGACTCTGGAACGAGTTACCTCTGTTTGTCAGACAGGCCTCCTCCCTCTCGGTTTTCAAGTCCCGTTTAAAAACTCACTACTATTCAGTAGCTTTCAACACCAGATGATCTGTGTTTTGATCCTGTATGCTCCACACTGGTTTGTCGTCATTATCTGCATCGTTTTTATGTCTATATTCTGATTCACTTCATTTTGTATTTTGCTTTGTGTGTTACCTGTTGTTTTGTCTGTACAGCACTTTGGTTGGCCTTGTAGCTGTTTTAAGTACTTTATAATTAAAGTGGTATGGTAATACAGGCCTCTAACTGTTCAATCATCTTGGGCCTTCTTTGTCGCACCTTCCTTTTTATGATGTGCCAAATGTTCTCTATAGGTGAAAGATCTGGACTGCAGGCTGGCCATTTCAGTACCCGGATCCTTCTCCTACGTAGCCATGATGTTGTGATTGCTGCAGAATGTGGTCTGGCATTATCGTGTTGAAAAATGCAGGGTCTTCCCTGAAAGAGATGATGTCTAGATGGGAGCATATGTTGTTCTAGAACCTGAACATAGTTCTCTGCATTAATGGTGCCTTTCCAGACATGCAAGCTGCCCATGCCACAAGCGCTCATGCAACCCCATACCATCAGTGATGCAGGCTTCTGAACGGAGTGTTGATAACAACTTGGGCTATCCTTGTCCTCTCTGGTCCGGATGACATGGCGTCCCAGTTTTCCATAAAGAACTTCAAATCGTGACTCATCTGACCAGAGAACAGTCTTCCATTTTGCCACACTCCATTTTAAATGACCCCTGGCCCAGTGCAAACATCTGGGCTTGTGGAGCTTGCTTAGAAATGGCTTCCTCTTTGCACTGTAGAGTTTCAGCTGGCAACGGCCGATGGCACAGTGGATTGTTTCACTGACAATGCTTTCTGGAAGTATTCCTGAACCCATTCTGTTATTTCCTTGACAGTGGCATTCCTTTTTGAGGTGCAGTGACGTTTAAGGGCCCGGAGATCACGAGCATCCAGTAGAGTTTTACGGCCTTGACCATTACGCACAGCGATTGTTCCAGATTCTCTGAATCTTTTGATGATGTTATGCACGGTCGATGATGATAACTTAAAAGTCTTTGCTATTTTACGCTGGGTAACACCATTCTGGTATTGCTGCACTATGTTTCTGCGCAACAATGGTGGAATTGGTGATCCTCTTACCATCTTGGCTTCTGAGAGACACTGACACTCTGAGAAGCTCTTTTTATACCCAATCATGTTGTCAATTGACCTAATTAGTGTTAATTTGTCTTCCAGCTGTTCGTTATATGATCAATTTCCTTTTTCCAGCCACTTATTGCTACTTGTCCCAACTTTTTTGGGATTTGTTGACACTGAAATTTTGAATCAACATATTTTTCCTTTAAAATGTTACATTTACTCAGATTAAACTTTTGATCTGTCATCTATGTTATATTACGAATAAAACATTGACATTTGCCATCTCCACATCATTGCATTCAGTTTTTATTCACAATTTGTTTAGTGTCCCAACTTTTTTGGAATCCGGTTTGTACATATCAGGAACAGCATGTGCAGGTTTCATTAGCATCAGATTTACAACCACATTAGAACAAATGTTTACTTAACTACAGCACACACACAATGTTAAGAAGTGTTACCTCCTCACCCTCACATGTAAGCACCAGTATAGTTAACTGGTATATTTCTGTGTAACATTGTGTATTTGTTTCTCATGCAACCAATCACTCTTTCCGCATGATTTCTAAGGTGTGCTCATGTGTGTTCAACATCCTTAGCATCAAGTTCACATCTCCATTTAGTGAATGATGGGATTTGATCCTCAGCACATCATTCATTTATACTTTTGTTGGATGTAACTGGGTCCCTGTGTACACAGTTTTGTTCCTCCTCATGTACAATATGCGATGTGAATGCCAATAAAGACCCTTGACCTTGACTCCCACACTGTCTTTAATATCAAAGCCTCTGTCATAACACAACGTCCGCAGGTAATAATCTGGAGAGAAGGCCACAGCTTTGTTATGAGCTTGTCTGATGGACGTCCATCCCTTGGAAAGAAAAGAAAGACACAGGTATTAGACGGATTTTTATGTGACACCTTAAAAAGATGGCAAAGATGCTGAACAGGATGCATTAGTGTTAGTAGAACCATTTGAAATTGTGAGGATTTTTTAATGCTGGCAGAAAATGCCTAACAGTGTTAAACAATGACAACAAGATGGCAAAGCAATGAAGTCCTGTATAATATTTAATTATATAAAAAATATTTGTCCAGCTGTTTTTTTATTCAGCTCTGACTTGAGCTCCCTGTTCTCCTGTAACAGATGGTTTATTTATGTTCTTTTTTTGTTCACACATTGTATTTGTACCTTTTTGCTGCTGGTTCATGTTCGTCCTCTCCATCATCTGCAGCCTCACTGAGCTCCTCTCCTGGAGTTTCATCCACTTCATCTGAAGGTTTGTCTTGAAGAGGACATATCAGAACACAGATCAGTATTACTACAGTAAAAGTGGCAACACTAGAAACTTTAAACAGTTTATTTCACAATAACACAGATGTCCACTCTGTCTAAACTCAGACTAAGTTACATGCAAAATATAAACCCAAACTAAACCAGGTTGACCCACTTCTATGAACATGAGCTAAACATGAGAACACCCTGACAAAATCATGGCACAAATTTATGGCACAACACCAACAAACTGAATTTAGGCACTCACCAGAATGTCTGGAACAAACTAGCAGGTATCTTGGGGCGCTGGAGAAAGTTATCAGGACGTCTCACCGTCTCCTTTTTGTTACGTCCTACACATGAGCTCCTCACGTTGTTTCCTAGTGGAGAATCTATTTAAAATGTCAGTTTTCGATCTTTTTACAATTCCAGTTGTGTGACCAGACATTACATCCAATAACACTGCAATTTCGGACCATCGCTTAACTGTTTTAACCTACTTAGATTTTTTTTTTAAGTTAGCGAGAAAGCTTGTTTTCGACAGTTAATATGGAGGGCAATAAAAATGGCGGATGCGGCCCAATTCTATCCCATCAGCCGCCGCGCCGCAGACAAGTGACATCATGCTCTAAAGCTCTATACTTTCAGCTTGTGTTAGATGTTATATTTGTTGTGTGTTTTGTGTGTTATGAGCAGCAACAGTCAAAAATATGTTAAGTTGAAAATATGATAATCAGGACAATGCAATAAAAATTAACTGTACAAAAATGTAATTATTGTGTTAAACATGAGTTTAAAACTGTGCAAACTATGATTAAAAGCAGTACCAGTGAAGACATAATACAGTTCTGCATGTCATGCACACTAAAATATCTTTTTTTTTTTTTTTTTCGGTTACTGCTCACAAAATTCTGTGAGTCTGTAACTGAAGATTCTTGTATTTTCTTCCAGTTTTGAGTCTCCAGCTAGTCTCAGAGTAGTGACAGCTCAGTGTGATACTACTGATGGTTTACTTCCTGCAGGACTCTGGAGACAAAGCTACACCTTTCTTGAATATCTACTGTGACTATGAGCCTGGGTCAGAGTTCAACCTGGAGTCCATTGCACGTGAGTGAGGCACGATGTGCACCTGCTACCTGTGGCTGTCGTATGTTCTGATGGAAACCTGTACCTCTGAACAGAAAGCTGCCTGAACCTAGAGCTGCAGTTCACTCCGTTTCAGCTCTACCACACAGAGTAAGTTTAAATCATGCTGGGGTTCGTTATCATGGTGGCTACAATCAAATTGTGAGGGTTGGTTGTGTTAGTACTATACGACAGGCCTGTTTGCACGTGACTGTAAGAGCAAAAAAAATCACTCAACTGTAAAAAATATTTAAAGTAAAAAATAAGGTTTTAGACGTTGTGTAGTATTTCATAAATTACATTTTCTTTTGTAGTAGTTTTACTAATTTGTTCCATGATGATGCTGCTGTTACTCCAGTTCTCAGTGGGCACTATTTGATTCAGGAATGTTGTTTTGAAATATCAGACGGTTTTCTGTAAACAGCTTGTTTCAGTGTCAGGTTGCACGGATGATAAATGACAGTGACTCTGCTCGTCATCAGAGTGCATTGTCCTGAGGGTGGAAGTGATACAGTGTTCCTGCTCAGTGGCCACGATCAGAGGATCCATCTGTATAAAGAGGTCAGACCTGATTTACACAAACTCATAAAACTTGCCATGTTTGTCTACAACCCCAGTTCTGAAAATGTTATATATATTTTTCCATCCATGCATCCATCCTTCAATCAGTCATCTTTTACCTGCATCTTCCTTTTCGGGTCATGGAGGTCACTGGTGCTCATATCCAGCTATCACTGTGTAAGAGGTGGGGGAAACCAGAGACCCACGCAGCATGGAGAGAACATGCAAACTCCACCCAGAAAGGCCCCGCCCGGGCTGGGCTTTGAAACAGCGACCTTCTCGTTATGAGGCGGCAGCTCTACCAACCAAGCCACCCTTCCACCCAGTGACAGCTCATAAATGAACAAATTGAAAAAGGTGGGGGGAAAAAGGAAAAAAAAAGAATCCATCCATCATCTTTACCCGCTTCTTCCTTTTTGGGTCACAGTGGTCACTGGTGTCCATGTCCAGCCATCACTGTGCAAGAGGTGGGGGACACCCTGGACAGGTCGCAAGTCCATCACAGGGGGCACATAACATGAAATGTAAATACACATCAGTTCAGGATGTTCTAACATTTTTTATCTTTAATAAAGGACAAAAAGGGATTCCAGGTTATTTCATCCTATTCAGCCTTACCAGCCATAGTCCGATGAACTCTTGTTGTAATGCATAAAACTTAAAGGTTAACAAAATGTGTAAAACAAATTGTTTGGAAACCTGTAGTAAAGGTTTATCTGGGTTTGTCAGGCTAATGTCGTAAGTCCATTCAGCCTGACTCGTGTTTTTAACAGAATGAGTCTCTGCACCAGTTTGAAGAACAGCCAGTGGAAAAACTGTTTCCTGAACTCCAACAACTGCCCAGCAAGTGGGTTACAAATCTCTTTTCGCCTCATGACTCATTTTGGGTCCACTGTCTATTCTTGATCTTCTTCTGTATTTTAATGTACTTCATTCACCAACTTTTACTGTGTTCTCTGTTTCTGTTGGATCTGTGCCTACCTCCCTCCATGCAGTGCGTTATGGATGGACATGTTGACTATAGCTGGTGGACGACGCCTCTCAGCATTTGGCTGTCAGAATGGCTGCGTTGGACTGGCTTTGGTCAACCAGAATGGACCAGGTACTGTTTTAAGATGACACCTAACAACAATAAAAACAATAAATAAATATTGTTGGGTATTTTCTCTGACCTATAAAGGAAATAAATTCACACAAGACAGGAGGATGAGTTGTAGCGCTCAGATCCTTTGCAAAGGGGGAGTCGCCTGATTGTGAGTCAGTGTGAGCTCCAAAGCCAGGCTGTCTGAGTTTGCTATTTATTGAAGCAGCAGAGGAAAACAGGTCAGTTTCATATGAACACAGTCTTATCAGCGATGACGGTCAGAGCATTCAGGAGATTGAGACTGAACAAATAGTTTCCTGATAAGCGTCCACTTGATGTGATTCAGAACTTTCCAGAACTTTCTCGCACTCAGCAAGATATAAAACTGAACCTGAATAAACCTTTTGTTCTGTACATGCAGAATGAGATAGAAGTTGTTTAAAATGATAAGATAGAAAACCTCTAACATTCCCTCTTGTTTATCATTTTAGACTAAAAAAATCATCAAAGAAAAAAATGAAAGTTGAGCTCTTTATGAACTTGCAAAATCGAAACATAAAAGAAAAACACAACAAAACACTTCTTTTTTTTAATCTACTGGTAGGGCTGGGAAGAAGAACAGGCATATCATCTTAGTACTTTTTGTTACACATTTTTAGTACGAGAGTCATAGTGCATCTTTTACACAGCATCGTCACAGTTTAGACTCACATGTCATCTTGGGTCATCTTAGCTAGATGCAAATTGATAAGAATACCTGTAAAAACTTTCATCATCATGTGTTTCAAAAGAGGTACAATACAGGAGAAAAATACACAAAATAGAAACAATACTGCAAAAATTGGAGTAAAAATTTTGAAGAGTAGATGCCACCAAGGTCCGGAGGTGAACCATGACCACAACTCGAAAGGTTCTGCTCCTTTGGTCCCGCTCTCAACATATCTCTTAAGGTCACTCAGGTCGTGCAGTGCGTCGTAGATGTCTCCTTCGGAACCTGATTGGTCTGGTATATAGGTACAGCATGTCTCACCAGTGATTTTACACACGCCTCCTTGTGATGCAGTCAGCAGATCGAGGATGATTTGGTTCTGTAGGATCATTTGTCTCATGGCGCTCAGCTCATTCTGGGTTCCATTTGCCAGTTTGTAGGTGTCATTGATAAGGCGGAAGAGGGCATACCTGTTGATTTCAACATGAACTCGTATTTCACCATCTCCTACCCATGGAAAGAGTCCTTAGAAGAACTTTTCTCCTCCGTTCCATACCTTGAATTCCCATGGGACGCCGATGTTGGTGGTAAGCCCTCCCCACCTGGTCACTTCTGGCATTGGAGAGAGTCTCATCTTTTGAGCTGGAGGTGTTGGTGCTTTCCTTAGCACGATCATCGGGTTGGAAAGGGGGACCAAAGCATAAAGGCCCCCCCAATCCGGTGGTAACGCTGTATAGGCTCTGTGTCCACATAAGAAATACCAGTCACTTAACACACGAGAGCCTTTGTCACCTGGTACTGCAATGCTGCAGTGGATGGTCTTCTGGCGTCCTCTCATTGGTAGGCTGATGTTGAAGGTCCGTTGGTGGAGGAGGTCTGTGCAATCTGTGACATCGTCTGATTCAGTGCAATAGTGTCCGGGGATCCCCTGAATACTGGCATAATAGCCTGCTTTGCAAAAAACACAATTCATGTAATTAGGTTTACCTTTGTGTGACCGGTCAATGTCACAGAAGGTATTCACCTTTTTACATAGATTCCAGGGCACCAAGCCTACAGGAGTGGAACCATTGTTGAAAACACAGTATCCTAGGGCGCCTGTTGGCAAATTTGTCAATGTGATCAGTTCAGGCAGTTTGATGGACATCTGTGGTAGGGGGATGACATCAGTGATGCTACAATTTGACGTGAAGTTGTATCCCATAGTTACCATGGCTAGTCGTCTGTGTGCATACCCTTCACCCCACTGGACAGTGGCGTTGTATAGCTTTGTTTTGTACAACTGCCTGTTCCTGGGTGGGTGCTCAGGCCATATAGACATGCTTGTTGAGCTGTAGACACAGCTGCAGGTCGCAAACCTGAATTGTGGGTGGCATAGGGCAGATGATCACATACTGTACATAGCAATTAGTAGTCTTTCCTTCATAAGCGGTTTTGTTCATCAGCTGCCACCATAGGTTGGTGCTGTAGTCATGAGGGTGTTCTAGATCAGGTTTCAGCAAATCAGTGAGGTCACCTCTGATTACGTGACATGCCATAGCCACAACACAACATAGAGTCCACCTTGGTTGTGATGCTCTCATCGTTGCTAGGTGTACAGAAATGTTAGGAGCTCTGATGTGCCTATTCAGGGCGTAGGCTGGGGCAGATTGCTGCACACAGCGTTTGTTTCTTCACTGACGTTGAGATGACACACCCTAAACGGTGTGTCCCCTTTGTGGTCAGACTTTCAAACACCTGGTCGATTAAGAGTAACACTTTCTGCAACTTTCAATGGCTTAAGATGAATCCAACTGGGTCTTTCCGCTACCTTTACAGCAGTTGGTGTGGTCAGTAGGACTTGGTATGGTCCCTCTCAACGTGGATTGGCCCACGTTTTTCATTTGATGACCTATCTTTAGACCCAATCTGCTGGCTGGATTGGTGATGTTTCCTGTGGAAGAGAGGAATCAGGAGACAGTGAATTTGTCTTACACTTCTTTCTCTTTCAGTGTTTTGATCATGTAATCTGCTAATGTTAGCTCTTCTTCTGCCCTTTCTGAGTCAGGTGAGAACAAAAGGCATTCTATATGGTCTGCCATGGATGAATTAAAAAAAGGGGTCAGACCATTTGGAGTTGGGGTAATCCTCATCTAAAGTTTTTTTAAGTAGGCCTCTAATCCATAAGTGGGGAAATGTTTCTGAATTAGAGTGATGGGTTACTACAGCTGTTGCTTTAAATAAAGATTTAGGCATCATTGGCATGATAAATTAATTCATCATTTAGTCTAGCTGAGCGAAGGGTGTGGCATGTGTTACTGGTCTGCCAGTAGAGGTCAGCAATGTATTGGCTGTAAAAAAAAAATTTATGTATGAAAATGCTTCTGTATGATAGATACCTCCCTCCTGTTGACACATGGCAAACACCATGGGTCATTTTTGGTTTAATCTGAGCATGAGGTATTGAGGTTAAATGTTATACATTTCTTTTTCTTTTTTTTTAAATTACCATAACAGTAAATAGCCATAACATATATTAAAAAAAATCCATTTTGGTTGTACAATCGATCCTTTAACTTCACATTTTTTTTGTTCAACCTGAGAATCGTCTTGTTTTTGACAGTAGATTTAACGCTGGTTCTTAGAAACCTTCAGTTTAAAAAGTAAAAATAAAATAAAAAAAATAAAATAAAAGCAAGAGTTGGCAGAACTTATTTAAAAAAAAGCGAATACAGCTAGCCAATCAGTGTTTGCACTCTACAAACGCCTATTAGTCACAAACGCCCACCTTTGGCCTGCCTCCTTTCAGGAGCGGGTCAAGTGCTGCAGTTACCATGCCGGGGCATTAGTTGGCGCTGTGATTTTGTATCTTCGGTTAACGTGCATGCGTGCTGCCGTGGCCTGCACTTCCTGTGAGCTAACGTTCAGCTAACTCCAGCCATAATGATGACGAAGGTTGGATTTTGGCTGGATTGTGGAGAGGAGTCGACATTTTTTGACGGCAAGCAGGACCGCATTGTCTAACAGCCCACACCGGTCGTTGAGTGGACCAGAACCGAGTCAACGATGTCGGACTTTACTACGTAATAATCTGTAGTGGATTTACAGCAGGTAAATTAATACTTGTTTTACTTTTGATCACACAACATCCAATTGAGTTTTTATATTTATCTTATATATATATATATATATATACATACCTTTTTTTTTTTTTCCACAAGGAGGGGCTGACCTCACCCTCGGTGGATCGGATCTGACCAAGAGAGTCAGATGGACAGTGTGGGACCAGATTCCAGGATGAAAGCAGGGCCGAATCCGGTTCCAGTAATCTTTGTTTCAAAAGTGGGTTTTAATTTAATTATCAGTGTTTTAGTGACATACAATTTGTGGTGCTGAATAAATAAAAAATAAAATAAATCTGTTGCTTTCATTTTTCAACTTTAGTAGCATGCAATGTTTATCAATACTATAAATTTGGTTTACATAATTTTCAGCGAGCTTCATGTAGATGGTTTATATCTCGCACACAAACACAAATGCTGCTTAGGATTCTAAAAAAGTTAAATCTCGGCCTCTGGGCCAAAAGGATGGCCCAGCACAGAAGATCAACATCATCAGGCCAGGACACTGCGGTCTGCACTCATCTCCAGGCCAGCGGTCACTCTTTCAGGGATGAAGATGTGCACATCCTGGATAGAGAGGAACGATGGTTTGAGAGAGGAGTAAAGGAGACCATCTTTGTGAAAAGAAATCGTCCATCATTAAACAGGGGTGGAGGCCTACGTGTTCAATTGTCCCCCTCTTACAATGCTGTGATTGCTAGTATCACTCAGCCCTCTGTGAATAGTAAACAGCCATCAGGGTGCTAATGATCCATCGTTAGGCTGATGGTCCTTCTTGAGCATGTGATCAGCTGGTTTTGGTTGTCAGCAACAAAACAGGTGGATCCACTCTGAGAAAGTGCTATTTAAGAGACTGAGCTGAATACAGCACCTCAGACTGAGGAAGTCTCTCGGATGAGAGATGAAACGTTTCTACATTTTTTTGTTGTTTTGCTTTGTTTTGTTTTTTTGAATGTCCAGAGGACGAGATTTAACTTTTTTAGATTTTTCTACCTGGATTATTGAGCATGCATCAGGATGCTGTTTAGGATTATTAAACGGTTACTATTTGGCACATTTTAGTATGCTTTAGTGCAGAGCGGCGTGTGCGAATGTGTGTGTTTGTGTGTGTTCCTTTTACAGCTGGTCTATGATCTTATTTAACAAACTTTAAAAGAAAGTCAACGAAACTTTATAACTCTGGCCACAACACATGTTAACAAAAGAAC